TAAGCAGACTCCCTGCTGAGCTCAGAGTTTGATGCAGGGCTCAGTGACCACTACCCATGAGACCATGACTCAAGCCGAAACCAAAAGTCAGACGCCCAACTGACTGAGTCACCCAGGCACCCTGTATTTTTACTATATTAAGAAAATATATTTTTTATTTATTTTTAGAAAGAGAGAAAGTGAATGCACACATGCCCATGAGTGGCAGGGTAGGGGGCAGAGAGAAAGGGAGAGAGAGAATCTTAAAGGAGGTGCCATGCTCAGCACAGAGCCCAATGTGGGGCTTGATCTCATGACCCTGAGGTCATGACCTGAGCCAAAATCAGAGTCAGAGGCTTAACTGACTGAGCCTCCCAGGTGCCCCTAATTTTACTATATTTTTTTAAAAACTTTAAACTAGAGTTGTAAGTGAATTATGTACCACTATTATCATATTCCAGAATCCAACTATGACTATATATTTACCATTACCAATGAGATTTACAATACCTTTTTATGTTTTTATGTAGCTAACTAGTATTCTTTTATTTCCACTCAAAGAACTCCCTTTAGCATTTTTTGTAAGGCAGGTTTGGTGGTAATGAACTCCCTTAGCTTTTGTTTTGCCCAGGAAAATTTTTGTCCCATTCTCTCCTGGCCTGAAAAGTTTCTGTTGAGAAATTCACTGATACTCTTATGGAGGTTCCCATGGATGTAACTTACTGCTTGTACTGCTCTTAAAATTCTTTCTTTGTCTTTGACTTTTGACAATGTAATTATGACTCAGTGTAGCCCTATTCACATTCACTTTATTCACAAATAATTATCCTTATGGATCTGGATGTCCATTTCTCTTTACAGGTTTGGGAAATTTTCAGCCATTATTGTTTTAAATATACTTTCTGTCCGTTTCTCTTTCTGGAATTACCATAATGTGAATTTTTTTTTTTATTGTGTCCCATAATTCCCATAGGCTTTCTTCTTTTTTCTTTTTGCTCCAGTGTCCTATCCTCAAGGTCTTTGATTCTTCTGTGTCTTTGAGTCTACTTTTGAAACAGTTGAATTCAGTTCAGTTACTGTATTTTTCAACTCCAGAATTTCTTTTTTTTGGAAGAGAAACCAGAGTTTCAATTTCTCAGAGAATATGAACAAAGGAAAACATGTTCTGCTTACACAAATATAAAGTTCTTGCACTTAAAAAAGCTAGGTGGGACATGTAGTTCTAATAACACTGGCTGAACTACAAAGTACAGGCATTTCACTGTACCCATATGAGGAACCAGAAGTCAGTTTGTTGTATAGCATAACAAAGAGCTTGGTACTTAAATACTTTAACAACTCCAGAATTTGTTTGTTTTTTTTTGATGGTCGCAGTTTTCTTATCAAACTTCGCGTTTTGTTCATGCATTGTTCCTAATTTTGTTTAGCTTCTTTTCTTCGAGTTTGCTAAACTTATTTAAGAGAATTATTCTGGATTCTTTAACAGTTTATAGATTTTCATGTCTTTAGGATCAATTATTAGAGCTTTACTAGTTTCCTTTGGGTGTCATATTTATCTGATTATTTCTGATCCTTTATTCCTTACGTTGGTATCTGCACATTTGATTGTGCTCCTCTTCCAAACATGAATAATTTATAGGTTTGTTTTGCAGAGATAGTTCTTTACCAGTCAGCTCAGTTTGGGTTTTTAGGTGTGTCTGCTGGTAATGTCCTTGTGCAAGTAGGGCCTGCTATTACAGTCTGTTTTTGGACAAAGCTGAACTCTGAGGAAGCAGGGCTGGTGGGGTCAGGGGGAGGCTAACATTTGGAAAAGACTGCTAGCTTGGTGCTGCAGTTGCCTGGATTCTCTGGTCAGACTCACTAGGTAGTTGGAACTGGGTACTATATTCATCAGTGGATTGGGCTATGAATTAGTTTCTCTGCCCTGCCAGGGCAACAGGATAGATTCCAGAATCTATACAGCTCATTGTTTGGGGACCTGAATTGGCAAGAGTGTGCACAGAATTCCCTTGTCAGATGATGCTCTCTCTGCAGATGGGGGAAGCCACGGGTTGTGCTCACTATTCAAGTGCCACTGGACACAGGGTTTTTGGATGGGCTGTGGAGCTTCCTGTATGCTCTGGTTATTTAGGTTCCCTGGTCAGACTAGCTAAAGGTTGTATTCGATGATGAGTGGAGCTACAAATTAGATTCCCTGCCTGGGCACAGTGGCAGAAAGAGGTCTAAAGCCAGTAAAGCTCTATATTGTCTAAACTCAAGCAGAACTGCATCCCAAGTTCCTTGACTGAACAGGGCCACTGGTTTTTGTCTGCAGACTATCAGCTTTGCCCGCCCACCTCGGTTTTAGTGCCACTGCTGTAGAGCTTTCAGGAATTTTTGCTAGCCCTTTTGGTCAGATGGGCTGGAAGACTGTCCACAATGTGTGGGGCTATGTCTCAGCTCCCTTGCCCGGGTGGGAGGAGGAGGGGCCAGGAGTGACCCTCAGCTTTATCTGTGAATTAATCACTCTGCCCGTGTGGAGCAGGGGAAGCCCCAATGCATGGCTTTGCTCTGGGGTGATCAGTCCCACTCAGCCACCTCTTGGCTTGAGTGCCATGGGACCACACAGCTTTCAGGGATTGTCTCCAGCCCTTCTGGTCTGATGGGGTGGAAGATGCTCCACAGTGTGTGTTGGGGGAGGGGTGGGGAGGGGGCGGCTGTGGCTCAGCTCCTTACCTGGGAGTGGGTAATACCACTGGGCTTTAGGGCTGTCAGAACTCCTCCTTTAAGAATCAGAATCAGGCAGATCTGCACCCTGCTATGTTCACTGGTCAGTGTGCCCCTGGCTTGGTTCTGCAGATAAGCAAAGCCACTGGTTGGGATTACTGCTGGGCACTGCAGGTATGAACTTGGTCGGCCAAGATCCATGTGTTGGTTGTTACAAGCACTTCATCCATTGTTTGTCAAAGTCAGAGTCCCAGTGGCTGAGCCCTGCAAATTTCCCAGCAATCCCAGTGCTGTGAGATCAGGGTAGGAGCTCCCACAAAGGCACTCACAATAATGGGTGTGTGTGTGCTGCTTTCCCCCCTGGGTTCTCTTTTCCTACTGAAGGAACCAGAGTCTCTGGGGAGACCCCTCCACATGGTGCTGCACTGTCCTGGGGAGGGACAGTGCAGTCAGTGGATAGCTGCTTTTCTTACCTTCCTAATGCATCTGTCTTGGTCTCAGTGATGTAGGGGGTGTTTCAGCCTGACCCCTGTAGGAGTCTCAGTGATGTCTTGTTCTTGAATAATTGTTAGTTGTTTTTCTTGTGAGAGGGAGCAAAGCTAAGAACAACCTATGTCGCCATCTTGGTGATGTCTCTCCTATTCTACACTTTTTTAGCACTTTGTGCCTTAGCTAGAGTGCCCCTTTGCTACTCTTGCAGACTTGTTTATCTTTTGATAAATCCCGGTTCAAATGCCAGTTTTGAGAAGCCCTTCCTTCCTTCCTTCCTTCCTTCCTTCCTTCCTTCCTTCAGATTGATTCATTTCTTTCAGAGAGCGAGTGAGTGGGGGAAGGGACAGAGGGAGAGAATATCCAAGCAGACTCCTGCTGAATGTGGAGCCCAACTCAGGACTTGATCCCACGAGCCATGAGTTCAGGACCTGAGCCAAAACCAAGAGTCACATGCCCAACCGACTGAGCCACCCAAGCGCCCCTGGGAAGCCTCTTCTGACACAACCTAGATGGAGATAGTTGTTTCCTTTTCTAGGCTCCCATTCTTTGTCCACATTATATTGTAATTTGTTTTTAAGTCTACTAGTACTGCTGGATGAGTCCCTTCAGGGACTGGATTTTGTTCATCTTTCCCCAGCATCTAACAAGGCACCTGATATTCATTATTTATTCATCTTCATTTAGTCAGTCAAAATAAATGTCTGTATCTCAGGCATTGTCCTAGGAGGAAGTATACAGTGATAAGTAAAACGGACAAGGTTCCTTCGTGGAGCTTACTTTCTGTTGAGGAGATAACAATAAATAAGTAACAGCACCTTTAGTGCTGTAAAGGCAACAAACACATGATAATTAAGAACAGAGAAATGCAGAGGGCTGTATTTCATATATGTGGGAACTACACAGAGTGGAGGCAATATTGAAGCTGAGTGTTGAAGGATAAGAAGGAACCAGGGATTCTAAAGAGGGGTGAGCCTGTGAGAGCTTTCCAGACATAGTACATGCCTATTGAGTGAATGTATGAATTATGGAACGACATATTGTTTCCCATCTTTATTTAACTTTACACTCTATATTTTTTGTATGTTTGTTTTTATTTGAGAGGTGGGTATACTGAGTGAATCCTATACTTAAGAAACCCAGAATAAAAAACAAAAAAAAAAACAGCACAGGTTAGTGTAAAGCACAATATCATTTACTCACCCCACCTGTACCTCCATCCCCATCCCCACTCCCTGTTCTGTGTTAGGTGCTTGGTATGGAGAAAGGGTCCCTGCCCTGTGGAGCTTACACACTTATTTGTTGACTCTTTCATGTAAGCCCTTTTTAGAATTCTTAACCAGGACATTTAGGAGAAGGTTTTTGAACTATCTCAAGATAGACTTTCTTTTTTTATAGTAGCAATACAATTTTTTTTCTGATTTTTCATTTTCTTTCTTTCTTCCTTTTTTTTTTTTTTTGGTCTCTTGCACACAATTTAACGATATAAGAATGAGTTGGTAGTTTACCATTCTAAAGAGTGATTGATTTTTCTTGCATTTTCTCATTTGTAGTAATTATAGTGCTTACATGATTTGCACTAGGATTGCTTTTCCTCATTTCAAGTTTCATACCGAAGAAAGAAAAGAATGCTTTTTCTCTCTTAACATTAGCGTGGTCTAAGAGAATGATCATCCCTATTTTTTGTCAAAAACCAGTTTTTTCAGAGAAACAAAGCAATAATTTCTACATCTGTAAGATAAGACTTTGGTTTAAGGCAGTATGTATGGATAGATGTGGGTGTGTATGTGTGTGCATTTTAATTTTCATTTTGAATTTTACTTTAGGAGGTTTTGGACATCTTGCCATTTTCAATTCTTGCCTGCAAACCAGAAGCATAGATGATGGGGAGCTATTACATGGTATATTAAAAATTCTAATATCCTGGAAGAAAGATCATGAAGATATTTTTCTTTTCAGTTGGTAGGTGATATTTTATACTGTGTCTCCTTCCCCCATTACAATGTGTATCCAGATTGTGTATCTTATAGTCACAATTTTGTATAGTAATAGGATAGTAAACATTTAAGTCAGCCTTTCATAAGTATATCAGATTTAAAATAAAATAGTTTAATTGAATGTCCATACCATTCTTTCATGTTTTTTTGTTTTGTTTTTGTCTTTATCACAGTAATCTATCAGAAGTAAGTCCAGAGATACTAGGTGTAAATATAGAAATAATCCGGTTCCTTTCCCTGTTTCTGAAATACTGCTCATCTCCTTTGGCAGAGAGTGAATGGGACTTCATCATGTGCTCCATGTTAGCTTGGTTGGAGGTAAATTAACCCGATGTGTCATCACCACTGTTAAGTCTTCATGCATATCTGTATACTAGAACCAACTACTAATCTTATTCTTTAAGTAATGATTGTAAATAGCTCTTTTGCAAACATTTAAACACCTTATAGATGTATTCCTCACCAGTTACTGTTTGATAGAACAGTGAAATGATAGAGGTTTAATGTCTGCCAGGATCATTCAGTGACCAAATCTCTTGCTCTTAAAGTGTTCTCTCCATTAGCTCATTTTCATACCGTATTTGTAGCACAGCCCTTGAGGTTTTATCTTTCATGATCAGTTTTTTCATCTTTTTGGCTCTTAAATTATTATTAAAACGTATTGTGTCAGTAATAACGTTAAAGATTAAGCAAATTCAGAGGGAATTCATGCTCTTTTTATGACACAAAGCAAGTATAGTATTTGTGGGCTCTGATGGCAGCAAATCATTAGGGTTGAATTAGTCTGAATCTCTGCTTTGTTTGCTGTTAGCTGTGTGGCTTAGGGTGTTCAAACTTGACCTACTTGAGCCTCAGTGTCCTGATTTTATTTATTTTAGAGAGATTATGAGCTGGGGAGAGGGGCAAAGGGAGAAGGAGGGTGAGAATCTCAGGCAGGCTCGCCGCTAAGCACAGAGCCTGACTCAGGGCTCAATCTCACGACCCTGAGATCCTGACCTGAGCCCAAGTTAAGAGTTGGACATTCAACCAACTGAGCCACCCTGGCGCCCCCAGTGTCCTTCTTTTAAAAATAACTTAATAATGCCCAATTGGTAGGGCTCCTGAGAAGATTATAAATATGTTTTTATAATTTCACTTGGTAAATGGTAATTGATATTTTCTTTCATAGTTTTAGAAATAGAGAGCATTTCAGAATAAATGGATTGATTCTAATTCTTAGTATTTAATTTTTTAAAAAGTTATTTTGATGTAAAATAAAATATATAAATGTCTCTGAGACTCTACACTTCAACTGCTTTTTATTTTAAAATTTAGAGAACTGAGAGAGTTTTCTTTAATCCCTTGATTTGTGGTGTTCTAGTAGATGTCTGCTAACCTATTTCATTTTTGTTTCTTCAGACAACAAGTGAGAATCATGCATTGTATTCTGTTCCACTTATACAACTGTTTGCCTGTGTCAGCTGTGATTTGGCCTGTGAGCTCAGTGCTTTTTTCGATTCTGCAACTCTGGATACCATTGGCAATCTCCCTGTAAATCTAATCAGTGAATGGAAAGAATTTTTTTCCCAAGGCATCCACAGTTTGCTTTTACCTCTTTTGGTGACTGTTACAGGCAAGTGAAAGGGGAATCATAGTGGGATTCATTGCACATGACTAGTTGAAAAATTCAAAACAAAAACTTTGGCTGCTTAAGTCAAATGGTACAGAAGAGTGAAGAAAAGAACCTGAGAGAAAACTTGGCATCTCAGAAGCATCACATATGCTTCTGCTTTACAGACAAGATTTGAAAACTGGCAAAGTATCCAAAAACTATTACAAGTTAAAATAATAGTAATTCAGATAACCTGAATAGATTATTTATAACTCAGACTTCTCTCTTTTTTAAGGATGAGAGAATAGAAGTTATGATTACTGTTTAAGATTACATTAAACGGTTTCTAGCGAGGACTGCTCTACTTTGTCAATTTTTTACTTCATTTTCTTAAATGACGTTTGACCCTGAATCAGTCAAGGTCTATTACTCACTTTATTTTGGGATGTGCATGTTTCTTTCCTTTTTGTCATCAGAAGAAAGTGAAGATACATCTGAAACATCCTTTCAGAATGCAATGCTGAAGCCCATGTGTGAAACATTAACGTATATTCCGAAAGACCAGCTGTTGAGTCAGAAACTCCCTTCAAGATTGGTTGCTGGCCAGAAAACAAACTTACCAGAGTATCTCCAGACTTTGTTAAATACATTGGCCCCATTACTCCTCTACAGAGCTCGGCCTGTGCAAATTGCTGTTTACCATATGCTATACAAGTAAGAATTCTTCCAATTGAATCAATGTTGTGGTGGTTCAAAAAAAAAAAAATATAGATAGATATATCTTTATTTAGTTTTATTTAGTGTATATCCACTTTAGTGTATATACACTTTATTTAGTTTTATTTAGTTTTAACCCTTGGTCATCAAAAAAAAGTCAAAGTAAAAAAAAAATAAACTCAACCTTGCATTTTAATAACAGTGATGCCAGATTTTGGATCACCAGGTCACTGTTCTCTATACATAGTTTACATTTAGATAGTCCTGGCCATAGGTGATTATTTCAGAAAACAATCATTTAAAAATATACTCATTACAAAGTAAGTATTGGTCTTTCTGCTCTTGAGCATGATTTAACAATGAACAGTTTAATGTAGTATAATATATATTCTGACTTGCAGATTGATGCCTGAATTACCACAATATGATCAGGATAATCTAAAGTCATATGGAGATGAAGAAGAAGAACCAGCCTTGTAAGTTTTTTTAATAATTATTTAATTCTCATAATCCACCTCCCTTATAATAACTTCAGAAGATGGATAAACACAAAAGCTCTAAATTTAGAGTATATATTCATTCAATAGATCTTTTATAAATCATCTGTAAGATAAAAATGAAAGTTAGAGTCCAGCCAAAAAAGATAGTTTCTCTCCTTAATTGTTCCTAAATCATATTTTCAGTTTGCTACTATTTGGTAGAACTTTCTTTGACCACACGGTAGCTGTGGAAAGAGTGTATCAATTTAAATATCTATTGAGCACCCACTTTGTGCAAAGTAATAAATGTCTAGGGGAGAATATGGTGTTTAGTAATTGTTCTTATTCGTAAGGAGCTTATAATCACTATAGACGATACTACTCTATAATAGAAGACAGTGTGTGGCAGATGCTGTGGAACAGGATAGATAGCATGCTGGGGGAACACAGCTGCTTGCACCAGAAGGGAAGACTTTTTCTTGAGAAAGAGACATTTATTCTGGATCTGTCAAGTTAGGTAGCACTTCAGCAGGGCAGGGAAGACCATATCAATTAAGGGAATACCATGTGCGAAGGCATGAGTGTGCAGGATGTGCTGGGGAGTGTTGAGTAGTTGCCACTTAACATTATTTTCTGTTGTCTGTATCTTCCTCCACTGGAATAGAAACTCTGTAAAGTCAGGAAGTTTTGTCTCTTGTTCCCATCTATATTCATAGCATTCAGAATGGTCCCTGGCCTAACACAAGACTCATGAATCCTGCTTATTTGTTTAATAAAAGGATAAATGAACGAATATATGTAGAGTAGGTAGGGAAGGTATAGTTAATGAAGGGCCTTAAAAATTACATTTTCTGGGATTTAGTGCATTATTTGATAGAAGATGGGAAAAGTACCAGCTGATTCTGGCTATAGCATGAATCGTAAATTATACAAAGAAGCACACAGAGATGGAGACCATTCTAGAAACAGTAATAGTGCATGGAGGGCAACATGGAAATGGAGAGATACCTGAGCTGGTATTTGTAAAATCCAGTGACTATTGGTATGAAATAGAGAAGGGTTGGTAGATGGGATAGTGGTGCTGAAGGTAAAAATCCAAGGGCAGAAGCTTGAGGACCTGTGTTTATGGGCTGGGAAAAGGAAGCCACAAGGAAAGAAATGTTCCACAGGTGAAAGGAAAGAACTGAGCTACAATGTCAGAGAGAGTTTGACAGGATATACATATGTATTTCACTTTTTGAGAATCTCCTAAGTTCATCTGAAAGTGTTAATGAGTGTAGTAGTTCAGTAAAGAAGAAAATTAATTTACATTGTCATAAATTAATATGAATATTGAATTTACTTTCCGGAAAAGACATACAGTCTTATGTTTTTTATCCTTTATAGGGATCTTGTAGGACCTGGTATCGCTGACTACTAGAGCTTATATTTTGTAGTATTTTTCATATATATTTTAAGTAATATAAATATGAAAAATATTTTACATATTTATGAATATAAAATGTGTTTTACGTTTACATATGTTAATGTATTTGTAATTAAATATATTTAATTTAGCAGAATTAGCAGTTAAAATTAGCAGTTAAAGCTGAATCTGTAAAGGGGGACTTTTAACATGGTTTTTGAAAAATAGAGAAAGATTTTTCTGAAATGCTTAAAGTGTATACATGCTGTCAATTTTTTAAGGGATAAGTTATGAAGAAAATTGTGGTGTTTAATCATTGATTCATAGGTCACCACCGGCAGCATTGATGTCTCTTCTTAGAACTCAGGAGGACTTGCTAGAAAATGTTTTGGGGTGTATTCCTGTTGGACAGATAGTAACTATTAAGCCACTGAGTGAAGACTTCTGCTATGTTCTGGGATACCTCCTCACCTGGAAATTAATACTTACTTTCTTCAAAGCTGCGTCATCTCAGGTAAATAGGTGATAACTTTTGACAGTTCTGTCATCTGTGTGTTTCTGTTACTGTTCTAAACCCTTTGTTTCCCCTTTTTTTGAAAAAAGGGGAAATGCCTCACATTTTTATCTTTCCTGGCTAACTTCAGACATTCTGCTAAATTTATATCTGTCCCTTAACTTCCTTATCCTCCCCCCGCCCCCACACGCACACAGTTTTTTTGTAAAAGTAATCTCTGGAATGTGCTTGAATCAATTTTTTTCTTACTGAATGTAGCCACCAAGTCCTTTTACTGCAGGAAACAAGATTTACATAATTTAATTTTGTGTTACCACAGTAATAATTCCAAAGGACTTAGATCTTGCTGTTTTGTTTTTTTTTTTCCTTTGGTCAATTTCTGACCCTTGTGGAGATTTTATTAGTACATCATTGGGAATTTACCTTATTTGAAAATCAGTGTTTAGAGCAAGATCTCTGAAATGTTACTGTGTAATTCAAACTGTTATCTCAAAATGGTAAAAAATCTCTTAAGATAATTATTTTGCCCAAATTATTCTAGCAGCCACTAGATGTCTCTGTTGTCTCATGTTTAGGAAGAAAGACCTCATTGTCTAGGAAGAAAGCTGGAAAAATTTCCAGGTTTTCTTTCTTTCTTTCTTTTTCTTTTTCTTTTTATTCTTTAGGCTGATCCCCACTTAAAAAGTTCCAATTAAATGTTGATTGAATCAGTTTAATAAACTGATGGCTTTTTAAATATAAACAGTGGCTTTTTTGACAGGTCAATACAATAACACTTAATTTCTTACCTCCTATTTGAGGTGTGATTAAATATGGCATTCATTTCCAATGTGATTTTTCCGAATTCCTAAGTTATAATTTATGTCGTTGCTAATAACTCATACCTTGATACAAATATATGAACATACGCATCTTTGCATTTGTATATCTAAGGGGAAGATCAAATTACAGAGGCAACAATGATCTAGATGTTTAAATTGTTTTATTTTTCTGTAGGCTGGCCACTTATGTTTGTGACTTGAGCTAGTTTTATTTGCTGGTGATGTATTTCAAGAACTCCTTGTTGGGTTTTTATATTTGTTTCTTAAAATATTGTTGATCTCTTAAAAAATTGCAGTAAAGTGAGTCTTCCATGTGTAAGAGTTTTGTTCTTATCTTATCATCTTATATTCAGAAATTTTGAAAATGGCCATGCATCATTTTTTTCATTAAACCAGAATTGGGTTAGGGGCACAAAGAATTGTACAGCAGCATTAATGAGCCTGGAACTTGAACCGAATGGTGACAGTTAAACCAGAATAACTCACTTAATAGCCTAATTAGATAAATCCTAAAGCACAGAATTTTTTAAAAAAAACACTGTAATTGGGCCTAAATCTGGCTTTTAAAAAACTTTTTTCCTAAGAAAAACAACTCCCAGTGAATCAGATTGAACTGGAACAAAGCCATGAGCTTACGTGTTTCATAGCTTTATTAATATGTTTTTCACATACTATCAAATTTACTTAAAGTATACAGTTTGGTGTTTCTGCTGTATTCACAGAATTGTGTAAATATCACCACTTTCTAATTTTAGAGCATTTTCAACAGCTGAAAAAAGAAACCTTTACCCATTTGCAGTCAGTTCCCATTTCCTCTCAAGCCCTCCAGCTCTCGGCAGCCACTATTCTGTGTTCTGACTCTATGGATTTGCCTCTTCCTGGACATTTCACATATGTAGTCTTTTGTGTCTGGCTTATTTCACTTAGCATAATGTTTTCAAATTCATGCATGTTATGCCATATATCTGTACTACATTCCGTTTTATGCCCGAGTAATATTTCGTCATGTGACGAGCATACCACATTTGTTTATTCATTTATCCATTGATGGACTTTTAGGTTGTTTCCACTTTTTGGTTATTTTGAGTAAAGCTACTGGGAACATTGTATATGAATTTTTGGGTGGACATATATTTTCATTTCTCTTTGTTGTACACCTAGGAGTGGGATTTCTGGGTAATATACATGCGTTTTTAAAAGTCCATTGATTTTTTTTCAAGTTTTTATTTAAATTCCAGTTAGTTAACATACTAACTGGAGTTTAAATATTAGTTTCAGGAGTAGAATTTAGTGATTAATCACTTATGTTCAACACCCAGTGCTCATCACAAGTGCCCTCCTTAATACTTATCACCCATTTAGCATTATTTGATAGAAGATGGGAAAAGTACCAGCTGATTCTGGCTATAGCATGAATCGTAAATTATACAAAGAAGCACACAGAGATGGAGACCATTCTAGAAACAGTAATAGTGCATGGAGGGCAACATGGAAATGGAGAGATACCTGAGCTGGTATTTGTAAAATCCAGTGACTATTGGTATGAAATAGAGAAGGGTTGGTAGATGGGATAGTGGTGCTGAAGGTAAAAATCCCAAGGGCAGAAGCTTGAGGACCTGTGTCACCCTACCCACCTCCCCTCTAACAACCCTCAGTTTGTACTTTATAGTTAAGAGTTTCTTGGCGTGCCTGGGTGGCTCAGTCAGTTAAGCATCTGCCTTCTGCTCAGGTCATGATCCTGGAGTCCTGGGATCAAGCCCTGGGGTGTAGTCCTGGGATCGAGCCCTGCATCAAGCTCCCTGCTCGGCCGGGAGTCTTCTCGTCCATCTCCCTCTGCCCTGCTCATGTGCTGTCTCAAATAAATAAATAAAAAATCTTAAAAACAACAACAAAAAATAAAATAATTCTGCAGTTTCCCATTTAAGAAAAGTTTCTTATGGTTTGCCTCTCTTTTTCCCCTATGTTCATCAGTTTTCTTTCTTAAATTCCACATTTGAGTGAGATCATATGGTATTTGTCCTTCTCTGATGTATTTTGCTTAGCATTATACTCTGTAGCTTAATCTGTGTTGTTGGAAATGGCAAGATTTCATTCTTGATGGCTGAGTAATATTCCATTGTATATATACCACATCTTCTTTATCCGTTCATCAGTCGATGGACATTTGGGCTCTTTCCATAATTTGGCTATTGTTGATAATGCTGCTATAAGCATCATGGTGTATACCCCTTCGAATGTGTATTTTTGTATCTTTTGAGTAAATACCAGTAGTGCTGGATCGTAGGGTAGTTCTTTTTTTTTTTTTTATTGAAATGCAACAGTACTTTAATTATTTCAGTGCTACAGGTCAGTTGATCTGTGCCACCCACACCAGATATATTTTTCTGTGAAGATTACCTGACATTTTTTGTTGTTGTTATTTTTTTTTATTAGGCTCTATGCCCAACGTGGGGCTTGAACTCACGACCCTTAGATCAAGGATTGTGGGTTCTACTGACTGAGCCAGCCAGTCATCCCAGGGTAGTTCTATATTTAACTTTTTTGAGGAACCTGCATACTGTTCTCCAGAGTGGCTGTACCAGTTGCATTCGCACCAGCAAGTGCAAGAGGGTTCCTTTTTTTGCACAGCCTCACCAACACTTGTTTCTTATGTTTTTGATTTTTGCCATTCTGACAGGTGTGAGATGGTATGTCATTAGTTTTGATTTGCATTTCCCTGATGATGAGTGATGTTGGTAATCATTTTGTGTGTCTGTTGGCCATCTGAATGTCTTTAGAAAAATGTCTGTTCATGTCTTCTGCCTATTTTTTAACTGGATTATTTTTGGTTTTTGGGTGTTCTTATAAGTTCTTTATATATTTTGGATACTAACCTTTATCAGAAAAAATCCATTGATATGTATCATTAGCTTTTTAAAATTCTACTTCCAACTTTTTTTTTTAAATTCAGATTTACAGAGGAGGTAGAAGAGTAATTCAATGAAAAGTCATGTACCCTTTTCCTAGAGTCACAAATTTTTAGATGTTGCTACCTTTGAAGATTTATTTATTTTTTGGAGAGAGAGAGAGAGAGAGCACAGCAGGGAGAGGAAGAGAGAATCTCATGCAGACTCCCGACTGAGCATGGAGCCTGACGTGGGACTCAATCTCATGACCCTGAGATCATGACTTGAGCCAAAACCAAGTCGGACGCCCAGCCAACTGAGCAACCCAGGCACCCTAATGTTGGTACCTTTGTATGTGTTTTCTCTATATTTACTTTTTCTCTGCTTGTCTATTTGAAAGTTGCAGATTCATGATGCTTTACGAAAAGTATTTAAACATATATCTCCTAAGAACAAGGACATGTATTGATATAGTTATTATACTCAGATTTAATTTTAATGCAATAATCTAATTTGTATTCAAATATTTTTGGTTGTCCCTGTAATGTCCTTTATAGTTTTATTCCTTCTCTATTGAGGATTTGATCAAGGATCATATTTGCATCGTGTTTGTCATATTTCTTTAACCCATAATTTCCCTACCTGTCTTTTCTTTATTGTCATTCAGGTTGGTTATTTTGTAGACTCTGTTAGGATTTGAATTTGTCTGATTGTTTCCTCATGATGAGTTTCTGGTTAATTTTCAGCAAGAGTACTTACTGGACATGGTGATGTGTCCTCAGTGTGTCACCTCAGGAAGCACAGAATGTCAATGTGTCCTTTATTGGTGATACTAAATTTGGTTACTTGGAAAGGTAGTGTCCTTCAGATTTCTCCATTGTTAGGTACTTTGATCAACATATTTAAAAAATAAATTCCATATCCTATGACTTGATACTTGTATGTGAGCTTGTATGAACAAGTTTATACTTGTATGAACTACATGTTAAGAAAATGGTGTCTCGCACCAAGAGGAGATATATGCTTTAGTGGGAAGAATAATTTTAAAACCGGTACATATACCAAAGAGTTGCAAAGTAAATGTGAACATATGAAAACTAGGTTATTGAGGAATGAGTTCTGAAGCACACAGATGCCTTTAGTGTACTGAGTGGTGCCAGATTTTCCTATTTCTTAAAATTTTAATCCACGTATAGTTAACATACAGTGTTGTATTAGTTCCAGGTGTACAATATAGTGATTATATAATTCTGTACATCACCCAGTGCTCATCACAAGTGCCCTCCTTAATCCCCGTCACCTATTTCACACACCCCCCACCCACCTCCCCTCTGGGAACCATCAGTTTGTTCTCTATAGTTAAGAGTCTGTTTTTTGGTTGTTTGTGTTTTTTTCTTGTTTTGTTTCTTAAATTCCACATATGAGTGAAATCATATGGTATTTGTCTTTCTCTGACTTATTTTACAAGATTTTCCTATTTTTAAAAAAAAACCCAGAAATCCATATATTTTTTGAAGATTTATTTATTTTGAGAGAGAGAGAGCACGCTCATGGGAATGGGGAGAGGGGCAAAGGGAGAGAATCTTCAGACAGACTCCCCACTGAGTGGGAGCCTGACACAGGGCTCAGTCCTGACCCATGAGATCATGACCTGAGCCAGAACCAAGAGTCGGACACTTACACGACTGAGCTGCCCAGGCGCCCCCAGAAATCCATATTTTTGAGTGAAATCCTGCTTTACAAAACAAGAAGACCCCAAGACATTTTGGACTACTAGTTTGTGCTCTCTTTTTCTAAAGGGATGCTGGAGTGTTTGCTGTGGTGTGAGGTCAGCCATAAAAATGGGATTAGTTTTAAGTAGGACTTTTGTAAGATTTAAGAACTATGGTGTGGAAGGGGTAGGTGGAAGACTTGGGAGGAGAGGGAGCAAATCATCTGGGGAGTGGGGAGTAGATTTTCTTAGAGAAAGCAGAGGTGAACTTATTAACAAGGAGATAGTTTGAGAAAGATGTTAGAATCCGTCTAATAATGAGGGGATAGTGAAAACTGCTTGTTTATGAAGAAAGGGAGTGGTGCCATCAGTGACACGTTTGGAAAGTAAGAATGTGGCATGTATTTTGTAGGACTCTTCCATGTAATTCTAAGTCTTCAAATTAATGCCTTTTTCATTGTGTTCTTGTACAGTCTATTCTACTTTGATTTGTTCTTCTCACTGAGTTGGTTTAATTGGGTTTACTAACAAAAATTCTTTACTCTCCACCAGCTTCGGGCACTGTACTCAATGTACCTTCGAAAAACAAAAAGTTTGAATAAATTGCTCTATCACCTGTTCAGACTTATGCCAGAAAATCCGACCTATGCAGAGACAGCTATTGAGCTTTCAAATAAGGACCCTAAAACATTCTTTACAGAAGAGCTCCAGTTGAGTATTAGAGGTCAGTTAGATGTGTGTTTGTGTTCTTTCTTGGAGACTAGGTCCAGATTAGGTTGTATTTATTACACTGTACTCTTCAGAGTTTGGATAATAACCCCAAATGTGTGTCCTGGCTATGAGAAGATTGAAGTGCATCTTAAAATGTCTTGGAGATGTGAGGAGGGTACTATGTCTTGTGAGTACTGAGGTGGATATTCTAGGATTTTTGTGTAACCTCACAGTGAGCTCTGGGGAAAGTATAGGGACCAGACTCCTTTTCATAATTTATAAGAAGACAATCTTTAAATTTTTCCTCCTTTTTTTTAAGAGTTTATTTATTTATAATCTCTATACCCAATGTGGGGCTCAAACTCATGACCTGGAGATCGTGCTCCACCGACCGAGCAGCTAGGCACCCCTAAATTTTTCCTCCTTTTTATTTAACTTTTTTTTCCCCACTCCCTGGGCGTAGGGGCTTGGGGTTGTCCTTTTTAAAATATGTATGTTCCCCTTTTTTGTGATCTGTCATGTGAAATACAGAATGCTATGTCTAGGCAGATTTTTCAGTGTCATTTGGGATCTTCCTTCTTTTTACTTCTTTTTGCCATTCCAATGATTCATTTTGAATGTGAGAGAAAGTTAATACTCTAGAGTTCTGGCTTCTTCAGTATGTTTGTTTTTTCAGCTCTAGTTCTAGTTTTAAAGAATTGAAAATGATTTTCTAGTCTGTTATTCTATGTAAGAAATACATGTTATTAACTAAGAATTTGTTTTTTCCTCAGAAACAGCAACTCTTCCCTACCATATCCCACACTTGGCTTGTTCAGTCTATCATATGACATTAAAAGACTTGCCTGCCATGGTTAGGCTGTGGTGGAATAGTAGTGAGAAGCGTGTTTTCAATATTGTAGATAGATTTACAAGCAAGTATGTCAGCAATGTTCTTTCCTTTCAAGAAATTTCTTCTGTGCAAACAAGTACACAACTATTTAATGGCATGACGGTTAGTATTATCTTGAATTTTTTCCAGAAAAGTTGTTTAAATATTGGTTATATCTGTCATTTGTAGTGAGTATCATCACAATATTAACCAATGGTTCAGAATTTACAGAAATTGTCTACTATATTTTCTACTTCATTCTTGGGTATCAAGTCTCAGTATTAATGTATAGATTGAAACAATGTTATAATTTCATTTACTCCCACCAGAGTTTTTTGAACGTTCATTAGTTCATTCAAAATATATATTGGAACACCTGTAGATTCCAGGCACTTTGTGTCAGTCACTTGGGAAATGAATGGTTTAGTAGGGTCAGATTCCTACTGTGTAAAATCATACAATCTAATGAAGGGAAAAGAGTGATACCGATATGTTTTTTGCGTTGGAAACTGGAAAGTGGCACATTAAGAGGAAGCGTGCTCTGTGATCAGCATGGGAAAGATTCATCTGACTGAGGGGGTTAGGTGCACCTTTATGGAGGAAGGTGACTTTGAAGTGGGCAGGATTGTGTTTTAGGGGCAGTGAGGAGAAAGGTGTTGAATATAGAGAAAGCAGTATGGCAAAAGCAAAAAGCTTGGAGATGAGAATGTAATTTCTGTGATTGCCCTAAGAAATGATGAATAAGCCAGCATTCATACAGAGCAGGGTTCCTGAAGGTAAATAGAGAACCAGTTGCTTCCATGATGAATTAGAGCCATACTGGGAAAGGCCTCAAATGATAGTTTAAAATATTTGGTCCTATTTGGCCACTGAAAATTTTCCTTTGAGGCAAATGACACCGTCAGTGTTATAATCGGTAAAATTGCTCTGACTGAAATATATAGTATAGGCTGTTGGCATGGAGCTTGGGTTCAGAAGCATAGTCAGGGAGACCCACTGGTATAAACATTATGAATAACAAGGAGGGCCTGAGTGAGGCAGTATCAGTGGGAATGTTCCATTAAAGGAGAGGAATGTTAAAAATTTTGTGGTGATTTATCCAAACTTGTAGCTAGTTAATATCTGGGAGGAGGTAGAAGGAAAAATTTAAGATGATGCTATGGTTTTTAGCTTGGAAATAGGACAGTCAGAAGACTACATTGGTCAAGCGTGATAATTTGTGTTTTATGTTGTTTGCAATGCTAGTATGAAAACTAAAACCAGGTGGAAATAATTCTAACGGTTGATGGTTGGCTTTAAAGCTAAAGAGAATTCTGTGTCAGAGAAAGACTTAGGGGACTTCTAAATATAAATGATATTTGATACCCTGGGTGTGGAAGAAGAGCAATAATTAAGAACTCATTCTCTCACTGGTCTGTTCAAAACTTATGCAGCAACCCTAATACCATAAAACATACTTTTGTATGAGAAAAATTTCTTTTGAAACTAACTTTGAATTTCATAAAAATCACTCTAAAATACATCAGGTATATAAATGTATGTATTAAATATCTCTTGTCCAGTAAACCAACATGTTTACCTGTATTGTCTCTGAATGAAGACTGACTGCCAATAGTCAACCTATCAAGATGTTTTTTGAATGAAAAGAAAGAAATTTGCAAAAAGGTATCACCTTTCCTGTGTTGCAGGTTAAAGCTCGAGCTACTACCCGAGAAGTGATGGCTACTTACACTATTGAGGACATAGTTATTGAACTTATAATACAGCTGCCTTCCAATTACCCCCTGGGTTCAATAACCGTGGAGAGTGGGAAAAGAGTAGGTGTGGCTGTTCAGCAGTGGCGGAACTGGATGCTGCAGTTAAGCACTTACCTCACCCATCAGGTAAGTTTCTCTGTGAACATTCAGCTTTCCAGATAGTACTACTGACCTCCTCTTTGAAAGGTAAGTAAGTAAGACTTAAAATATATCACTTCTCCTTGAGGTTGAAAGAGATACTCTATTTCCTTGGGTCAACACAGATGTATGCCTAAATGACCTGAACCTACCTACTGAGCTGTTTTCCTTTTTAAGGTTCGGCAGTTTTTTTTTTTCTGGTGTTTGAGAGGAATTGACTTTACTCCACTGACGTTGTGGATGACACAGAACAATACATGGTATTAAAGAAATTGTTTGAGAGGGAATCTTTGTAAGATACTGGATCAACGAATATCTTTGGAGCTACTTTTAGTCTAACATTTCAACTCTCCTTCTGTGACTAGAGAAATCCCAGTACTCTCAAAGATCTTTGACTTTTAAACAAATTTTAGTTGTTTGCACATTGAGACTATAAAACTTGATGTATTGATGCAAAACCTCTCTTTCAGGTCTGTCTTTAATGGAGAAAAAATTATATCTGGTTTCTGAAACTTGCGAGGTCATTTTAAAACCAGCATTCAGAAAACTTAGGAGATGTGAATATAGCCAAGCAGATTCTTTTCTTTCTAAATTAAAATTCAGGGGTGCCTGAGTGGCTCAGTCAGTTAAGCGTCTGCCTTCAGCTCAGTTCGTGATCTCAGGCTCCCTCCTCAGCGGGGAGTCTGCCTCTCCTGCCACTGGTGCTCTCTCTCTCTCTCTCTCTTTCTTTCTTTCTTTCTCTCTCTCGTGCTCACTCTCCTCCCTCTCAAATAAGTAAAATCTTTTTTTAAAAAATTAATAACTAATTAAAGTTCAACTTTAATATTTATGAAATTGAATAAAAATAACTTCGGTGGTCTTCAGAGTATATTTACTCTATTTTTTTTCTTTTTGTTAACAGAATGGAAGTATTATGGAAGGCCTAGCCTTATGGAAAAATAATGTAGACAAACGTTTTGAGGGTGTTGAAGATTGCATGATATGTTTCTCAGTCATTCATGGTTTCAACTATTCTCTTCCCAAAAAAGCCTGTAGAACATGCAAGAAAAAGTTCCATTCAGCCTGCTTGGTAAGTCCAAAGAGAAATTAACTTACTTATATTTTATGTATATTTATATGTGTGATATCTAATTTTAGAAAATGATGTTAAACTCTTAATTGTAGTTAATGAGAGGCATATTAAAATGATTTTGCAAAATCTGTAAAAGATAATTAGTAATTCACAAATACTGGTAGCATCAAAGCACTTTAATAAATGAGTGTTTTTATTATAGCTCTCACTCAAACAGTAGATGGTCCTGTAAGATCTAGACCATAAAGGAGACTGAAAAAATTGGAACCAGGGGCCATCTGGCGTTAGAGCTCTTTACTGTTTTACATATTGAAAAGAAAGCCACCCAGGATACAGTTGCTTCATAGGGAGGTCTTCCTGACATGTCTTAGTGGTTGGGTGCGGAACCTAGGGAGAAAGAATCATACTGTAGCTTTTGGAAATAATGTGAGTTGTGTTGATTTTGGAGATGAATGGAGGAAGCTAAAATTTTGGTATTCTCCCTTTTCCACTTAATCATTGTTAAGCTTACCTTGGATGTATATGTAAAATGACAGCTTTACATTTAAAACCTTTTCTTTTTCAGTACAAATGGTTTACGTCTAGCAACAAATCTACTTGTCCACTCTGTCGTGAGACCTTTTTCTGAATTTTTTCCTTCCATTGGAAGTGATCCCTGAAGTAAATCAAGCAAAGACTGTGGATCTGGATCCATCTTAAAGTGTTGATGGGAGGAGGCCAGTGAGCATTACTTTTAAATACGACCTTCTCTGGAAAATTATTTTGGTTAAAGTAATGATCCTAAAATCAGGTTTACTTATCTTTAGATTGCTTTGTAAATGTTTGGAAACCTTTTCTTTTACATAAGAATATTACGTATTTGAGAGAAAATATTTATATTAGTAGTTTAATCTTTTTGTATATTTAAAAATAAATATGGAAAAACTCTAAATTACAGAATTGGAATTTGTGAAAGCACTGTACAACTGTATTATGCTAAAAAGCCCATTCAGTTTGTTGATCTATGTTCTAGAAGAGTCCAAGTGAGGCAAATGAATTGAGAGTTGATTTATATCTACAGATATTTTAGGACTTATTTATTAGTTATGACAACAAAATTAGTATTCTGATATTTGTAGATTATTTTAATGATAAAAATGAGGCTAAGCTATTAATATAGCTTATCATAAGCTATTTGAAGCATGCTCTGAAATCCTATATAAAAGAGTGTAAACTGAACTTCAAGGTGTCTCCATTAATCAAGGGTTATGAAATTCAGAAAATTAAATTCACGGCACTGACCTTTTGCTGTGGAAGAATTTCCATGTATTAGTGAAATTTGAATTGCAGACTTGTCAGTGGACTTACTTATTTTTTCCAGCCTTTAGAAGTACAAGTTAATAATTTTAGTACTAAGTAAAATTCAGTATAATGGGCTGAAGTGGAATAGGTGAATACCTGCCATTTGCCACAGCACTGTTACCCTTAAAAAATTGTGCCCAAGTTATAATTTTGGAAGTTTGGAACTTGAAATAATTTTATTGCAGTCTTCCATTACATGGGAAATATTAGCATATCTAATAGCAAGTTTACTTGAAAGATCAGCTACTCATCTCTGTTGCAAATGTTTAATTGGCAAAAAGCAAGTCATGTTAAATAAAATCACTGCTTACCATCAACTGGGTAAAATGGTTATTATTGAAATAGAATGAATGTGGTCAGAGTATTGTAGTCAAGAGTGAAGTATTATGCATGAGTTACAGATCTCTTGAGTTGAATTTGTAGATGCAGTATCCTACCCAGTTTTGTCTGTCTCTTGGATTTTTCTCCCTAGTGTTTATTATCTTATAGCCTTGAGACTCAAGGAGTCAGTCAATGAAGAACAGATAGCAAAATTCTACCTCTTTTTAACCCCTTTCTAAAATATTCTCTATGTCTCTCTCTGACATAGTAATCCCAAAGGATTGTGTTACTCTGTGAAAGTTACACATTTTTCCTTTAAAAATGGTTTTATAATAAGACCTTGTTTATAACTTTTCCAATATTGGTACTTCTTGGCTTCTGACCCAAACCTCAAGTAGAACAGAAAAGGGAATAATGGAGCATTGTTTTTCCACGTTAGTATCTAGGGCATCAGGTTCTTGGTGAAACACTATAATTAAATGGAATACCTACTCTTCATACTTAGGACTCTTAACACATTTCTTTGAGACTTGTAAATATAAATGTAAAGCTTGTTACTGTTTATATGCTAAAGAAAAAGCTTTCCAAAATAAGACTGAAATTCAGAATATCATTGATTAAAGTTTTATTTATATGGCTTTAACAACTCTGCAGAGCATCCCTTAAAATTCTAGCATAAGGACATTAAAAATTGCATGAGATTCAAAGCCCATTAGCAAAATTATTAATTTAAAACCCTAATGTAAATTGCAAATTTTAGAATTTATTTTTAACTCTTATTTATCACATGCTCTAATGTATGTACATAAGTTTCTGTGGCTTAAATAATTAATGTTATTATTTGATAAGTTTTGGTGGTATGAATGATTAATGTTCTTATTTGATTGTTATACCATATGTGCCCATTAAGATTCTTTTTAATTATAAAATATTTCAAATATACAGAGTAATAATAATATAAATGCCCTTGTACTCTTCACAAACTATTTTGCCATATTTGCTTCTGATTTTTAAAGAAATAAAATATTCCTCTTTTGTACTCCTCCCTGATGCCATCTCCTCTTTCCCTCCCTAGAGCTAACCTACTGTTCTGAAGTTGGTGTGATTCTTTCCTATTTAAGATTTTATACTTTATCATGTGTTTGTATCCATAAATAATATATAGCAGTTTAAAAAATATTTTTATTTGAGATAGCCTATTGTATGTAATCTTTTGTAACTTGCTTTTTCGCTCAACATAACTGCTGTTTATAGTATATTAGTTTACTTGCCAATTCCCCCAATAATGGTCATTTCAATTATTATTTTTTGCTATTTTGAACAGTTCTGCAGGTGTACATCCTTGATAACATTTTCTCACACAGATGTCCTAGATATTCTCTCATATGCCCCAAATGTATATGTATACTGTGTGATATGTATACTCTGTGACTTCAGATCTTGTCAAGTTGCTCTCCAAAGTGGTGTACAGGTTTGCACTGCCAACAGTAAGGTAAGAGAGTTCTGGTTTTCTTGCCTCAGATTTTTAAATTTTTCTAGTCAGAGCTGTGAGATAGTAGCTTTTTGTTTTAATTCGTATTTCCCTGGCCACCACGAACCTTAGCTTCATTTCATATACTTATTGGTCATTGTGAATTTATTATCTATATGCCTACTTTTCTCTATTACATGGCAGCTTTTAGTGTGTGGGTTGACTTTAACATGGTCTGTGGCCATCTTAATTAGTTTAGTCAAATTTATCATCGTTTTCCTTTATGACTGAGCCCTTTTTTTTTTTTTAAAGATTTTATTTATTTATTTGAGAGAAAGAGTGAGAGAGAGCGCATGAGAGGGGGGAGGGTCAGAGGGAGAAGCAGACTCCCTGCCGAGCAGGGAGCCCGATGCGGGACTCGATCCCGGGACTCCAGGATCATGACCTGAGGCGAAGGCAGTCGCTTAACCAACTGAGCCACCCAGGCACCCTGACTGAGCCCTTTTTGTGTTAGGTTTTAAAAATTTATTCCTTCCCTGAAGTCTGAAAAATTCTATTTTGCTTCAAAAGCTATAAATTTCAAAATATGCCTAATTCACCTCAAATTAAATTTTGTGATTGTTGTAAGGTAGAAATCCTACCCCATATATTGATAGCCAGTTCTCATAACATCTCTTATTAAATAATACGCCCATTCCACCATTAACTTTGTAGTGGCTCCTCTCATGTTACCAAATCTCCTTGTGTGTGCAAATTCGTTTCTGGACTCTGTATTCTATTCCATTGGCCTACTTATCTGTGTTAATTCACAGATTTTTTTATTTATTTAAAAAATAGCTTTATAATTAATCTTGAAGAGGAGGTAAGTAGTCCCCTACTCTTACTGTTCTAAGACTTTCCTTGGATAGCCGGATCCTCTGCCATCCAAGTATTCCCCTTCCCTTGCTTGTTTGTTATCATGGCCAGTTTGTCCTCACTGTACTAAGTTGTTTTAGGAAAGAATTTGATAAATGCCCATGTTAGGTTTTATCTGGTGCAACTGGGTGGTTCTTCTGGCTTAAGGTCTTCCAACCCAGTTATTCTGTTTGTTTCAAAATTGGAAACAAAAATTTTGTATATTTGTGATGGATTGCTTGAACATCTCCATGATTTTGTCTTTTTGTTTTATAAAAGTTCCTTGCAAAAAGACTTTGGGCTCTGCAAGGTATTTAGCATGGGGGTCTGCTAATCTAACAACTTTGATAATATCTTTTTTTTTTTTTTTACTCTGGATTTCTTTTTAAGGATAGTAACTTCTTTAGGTGGCACCAAAGCATCAAATAACTTGTATATTTCATATCCGGATTTTATTAGGAGGTTAAGGAACCTCTGTTTCTGTAGCATTCCAAATTGATATGTTATTTCAAAAATGTACTGGCTATCTGTTTACTCCTTTTAGCAATGTGATGTGTCCTTTAAAAGACTTAAAAAGAAACCTATAAAAGACAAGTTTGTCCACTTGAGCCTGTTTTTCTAAAAGACTCTGGTGTATTGTATATCCAGATAATAGTCTTCCTTTTCATTTTTTTAATATAAAACCCATTAATAAACAGTATTTGTAAGAATACTAGTAGTAGTACAGTGTTCAAAATGTCTGTTCTGGGCATAGACACTTCTTGAACTGCAGAACCATAATCATGGGATTCTTCATCAGCTAAAGATAATAAAGTTAATGGATTTGAGAAGGCTCTACCAGTGGATGGTAAAATGAGAAAGAGAAAGTGATAATATACTTTATGTGGTACCATTAGATTTAATTTGCATATTGATCTTGTACCTTCCAACCTTGCTGAACTAATTTATTCTAATAGGGGTGTGTGTGTGCGTGCATGCACGCACATGTGTGTGTAAATTCCTTAGGATTTTCTGTTATATACAAGATATGGCAAATAAGGAGTTTTACTTCTTTTCCAGTCTGGATTCCTTTTGTTTCTTTTTCTTGCCTAATTGCCTTGGCTGGAACCTCCAGTGTTGAACAGAAGTGTTGAGAGTAGATATGCTTGTCTTGTTCTTGATCTTAAGGGGTAAACTCTCAGTCTTCCAGCGTTGTGATATTAGCTGTGGTTGATAATAATCAAACTTAAAGGTGAACTTAGTACAAATGTGAAGATGCTTCAACTAATTATAATTAGTCTAGTCTGCAGTTTCTCTGATGCAAGAGAAAATAAGCTATTGGATCAAAGGATAAGCTTGTAAAAGACAATGGAGTTTTTATGTGTGCCATGCTGCAGAAAAACTATTAGAGCAGAGTTTCTCAACCTCAGTACTTTTGGCATTTTAAGGTGCATAATTCTTTGTTTAGGGAAGTGCCCTGTGTATTATAGGATGTTTAGCGCATTCCTGGCCTCCATCTACTAGATGCCAGTGCAGCATCCCATTTGTGACAACCAACAATTTCCAGACATTGCCAGATGTCCCTTGGGCGGTAAAATTGGCCCTAGAGAACCATTGCCTTAGAGCAGGACTAATAAGCCCTATTGAATAAAAATATAATGTGAGCCACATGTTATTTTAAATTTTGCTAAGTAGCCACATTAAAAAATGTAAGAAGAAATAGGTAAAATTAATTTTAATAACACATTTTAACTTGGTATCCAAAATACTATTTTGATATGTAATCAATATAAAAATTAGATATTTTACATTTTCTGTATTATTTTTGAGATCCAGTGTATTATTTTAAATTTACAACACATTTCAATTCAGATAGGAAATTTTTCATCAGAATTACTTGATCTTTATTTAGATTCCAGAAAATT